AGATATTTAATTACATATTATAATTAATAAAACTAATATTGTTGAGGACATAATTCAACTCCTCTTCTGTTTCATTGAATCCCTTTCAAAAATATACATATACAGTGCACATGCATTCTTCCTCTCCATGTAATATTTTGTATAGCATACAAATTAATGTACTGCTAATTTCTTGTGTAAAATTATTTTATGAATTGTATTATTTTACTTTTATGCAATATCAACAAATTTTTTATATGTTATATGAGAGTTACATTTTTTTCAATTATTTAACGTAAATTTAAAAAATTAAATACAAAAAAATTTATAAACATGAAATAACATAATGTAAAGAACACCGTTTTAAATATTTATTTTAAAGAAAAATTATTTATTGTATGTACATGCATACATAAATATATCTCTAAAATTGTACGATGATGTCTTTTGCTAAAGGTGTTTATATTAATGGTTGCTTTTTCCATAGCATGAATGTAGTGTTCAAGCTGATTTATTATCACATTTAACCGCTCCAGCGGTTGTGATACATAGATAGTGTTGATCGCACATTGATGCTTAGGTGGGTGGGGTGACAAAGGAGTTGGCAGTTCGATGACATCAACTACCATGAATGTCCAGGAGAACTCTGGGTCTAAAGGTGTATCACTTTCATGCAACATGTGTAACAAAATCTTCAATTCTCCAACACAATATAATGTGGTATGTTATATTTATTAGAAAAAAGTCGTAATTATTTAAAAAGTATTGCTGATTATTAAATAATAGTACTTATATCATATTGCAGCATATAACATCAAAAAAGCACACTGGTAAATTAAAACAAGCTAAAATTCAGAAAAAGAAAAGGTTTTTTCCATATTGGAAAAAACTTAAAGCTGGTGTAAATCCTAAAAATCTTGTTCAATCACTTTCAAATAACTTTGTACCAGGAGGTTTCACAAATCAGACATAGAAGAAAAATGCAACAAAATCAATATATCTATTTTAATACATGTGTGAATTATTTATATTTAATTCTTTGAAAGGAGTAAAAGAAATTTTAGAATCATGTTACTTTAAATAATGAAATTAATTTGATATTTAAACTTTGATCATTCAATAATACACGTGTGTTGTATAAATACACACAGTGTTACACAGTTTTTTGATTTATACACATTAAGATATTGCTGAGTGTTAAAGTGTAAATCTTCCTCTGCACTATTTCTTTATAATGAAATGTAAATATATGACTGAAACATAATTGGTATAATTATACAATGTTACTGATACCATTTTTTTAAAATGTATTTTGTAATTAATGAAAGTTTTAAAAATGGATTGTACAAAGTATGATATTAGAAAGTATCATATTAAAAAATAATATGTTTAATAATTAACAGTGTTTTTAACATGGGTTGAAATAGTGCAAGAAGGTACTAATGTATTGTATGATTGTATATATGTGTATTCAAAAAATAAGCAACAAAATATATAACGTTGTAAGTAATAATAGCTTATAATTTCTTCTAATCTTTCGACATATATCAGAATTCTATTTCCTTTTCAGTGCACTCCGTAATTTCAGGCTGAAATTTATCAGATATATGAAAAAACAATCATAAATTATTATCACTGTATTTTATTTATTATTTAACGTTACCTGTACCATATGTCTGCTTAATAAACGACGCATTTCTGCATTCTGTTTCCGCAACGATTCTGTTTCGCTATTTAATTGATGTCTCTCTTTTAATATTGCATGATACTTTTTAAGACCAACCAGCAAGTTTTCCCATAATCTCTTTTTATCTTCCGAAAAAATATTCTGATACCGTTGCCAAAATTCGGTTATATCTTTGTCCGTTATACTTCGAGATACTGTCATTTTCTCTTTTTTATTAGTGTGCGAAAACTCTTCTTCATTCTTAACAAACTCGTATCTCTCTACAAATTCTTTTAATGATTTCGAAACAAATTTGGTTTCAATCGCCAACAGGTGGCCTTCGTCGCAAACTAATAACCGTTTTGATTCATTGTCCGCTATAAAAATAAGACAAAATTAATGAATATTTAAGATAATATATAAAAACTGGGATGAATATTTTATCGAACGTCATATTTAGATATTATTGAAATTTTTTAAATTCAGATCACTTTCAAAGCAAAAATTTCAGTAAAACTATATATTATAGAAAATGTCTGTTTATATCTGATCACAAATTCAGGATAATATATATGCATAAATTGGTTTATAAGAAGAGGCAAAAGTTGATTCGACCTTTTGGCAAATTGGCTAGCAATAACAGTTCAATGTTATAAGTTAATTGTTACCACGTACCATCGGTGACTTCAACAATACCACCTAAAACACAAGTTGGTACAACTTGCATATTAGCAGCTGTTGTTTCTTCAGTTGAAGAAGACTGCGATATATTTTTCGTAGCGGTAGTATTTTCGTCTTCGTCGTCATCTAGTTTTACACAACAAAGTGCTTCCTCCGCAGCTGTCACTAACTTACTCTCTTCCGTATTGAACGTTTCGCTACCGCAAACTTTAGGTAAAGTGGTTCTAAAATTGATATATTCAATAGCTTTGCTACATTTTAAATTAAACATATGGATTATCCAATATTTTTCACATACAGAGACGAAGAACTTTCCGTACTTTCTCCAGATCTTTCACAAACATTCGGTGTGTTTTCAATTTTGTCCTTGCAAACGGGACAGTGCGCATACGGTAAGAAGAAGTTCAATAAATATTGAAATTCTTGTTCGGATGTAATTTTCAGTGCCTGTAAATTCAATCATGTTTGACCTTGTTGCGGTGAAATTTCTTAATTACATATTCCAGGAACATTACCTCGAATACTTTGTCCAGTCGTATCAATAGTTTGTCCTCTTCTGTGTAATCAGAAAGTAACTTCTTTAAAGTATCTTCGACAAGGTAGTCACAGTGATTAGAAATCAGCTTAAGAATATGATTCAATAGGCGTCGCTCTAAATTGATCTCTTCCAAACTAGTTGCTCGTTTATAAGACTTAGATATTACTTTTCTTTTCTCGGCTTCCTCTTTTTCTAGCGATACAAATAAAAATGTTCGTAAATTTTCATTGTACCAATCTTACGTACCAGCGTTATTTAATAAATAAGTTTCACCCTTTTTCAACGCACACATCGCGCCACAATAAGACGGTAAATCTTCTTTCTTCAATAGTTGCTCTTCCGGTTGTTGCCATTCTATTAATAACAATTGCTCGTGTATAATTCTGTCTGCCGTTAATATCTGAAATACCATCGTCAAATAGAACTGTTCTCGTTAATAATTGCTCACAGCCACTGTACCTTATTCACTAATTCGTCGGCGGTTTTAATATTCATATCCCAAATTTCCATATACTTTTTATCGTTAATGGTCGCAAGATAGTTGGACTTTTCCTCTACGTCTAATATACCTTTGTGCGCTTTCAATATTTGATTCGTCAGTTTTTGAATTTCTACCCTCGTTGATTTTTCCAAGTCTGCGTAAGTTTTCTTCAGATCATTGAGAGTGTCCTGAAGCCTGAAATACAAGCATATTTAGCTTATTCGTCGTTTTGTTTTATTCACTAATTTGGACACCGTCCAAGTAGTAATTTCTGAAATATTATAAAAAAAAACATACTTGTTGATTTTTCTTTTCTGCTGATTCTTCACGATGATATTTTCTTCTTCTCGACATTTCAATATCGCGTAATTGTAATCCAATTTCTCGACGTTCATCATACAA